TGTATGCGCACAGTGTAAATATTTCTATCATATGGCAGTCTTCTGTACAGTGGTCATACATTGAAAAATGTTCATTAATCTTTTTTTTCTTAGACATTGGAGTGGTGCATTTAAATGTTATAGAGCTAAACATGATAAATTAGTGAGTAATAGTAGTGTAAGTTTTTAACCTGTCAAGTTGTTTTTAGATTTTTAACATTAAAATTTATATTTTTCCAAGCAGACAACAGTTTAAAGCAAAGTTTAGTTTGAAAAGAATGTGCAGGAAGGATTGAAAAGCATGCTAACACGGTAATGTAGGCTTGAGTTCATTATCTGACGCATGCATAAACACACCAGGAGCCTGGAAACTTAAAAAATACTAAATTACAAAAAACATTTAAAAAACAAAAATGTTTCATTTATATATATACAAAAATGAATATTAGGAACTATATTTATCAAACATACTGGGCAAGTAAAAATTGTTTCTGGCCAAATGAAATGTGAAAGCCACTTGCCCAAACGGCAAGTGATAAAAATCCTTAACGTCAACCCCTGGATTACACAGCAGTGGAGTCAGTTTGAATTGAATCTGTTTGCATTAGATTATTTTTCCAGGTTTTAAGGCAAAAAAGGGAATGAATAAAATTCTTGAAGAAGTGGTTTAGTTTTTTTTATCTGCAGGAGGTTTTGAAATCTATGTATCTTCTGCCCCACAACCATGATCTACTTTGTGATGGTCTCTAATGGAATAACTATGATTACAAGGTTTGAATATTTTTTTAAAGCCTTGAAGACTTTAGAAGTACATAACTGATTCTGTATCAGCTGTAGTTCTCGTTCTTTGGTCGGTAAGTCTTCTGAATGTGCTGGAAGATCATTTTGGTATAATTACTGCTGTTAGAGGGTCGATCTGTCAGCTAAAGGCATGTTTTACGGTCTCTATACTCCATTTAATGATAAATCGATTACTAAATTAGTTCACGATTATTTCAAGAAGCGATTGAGCAGGATTAATCAAAATATGAACAGTGCTTCATTGTTGATCTATGTCGAAACATGAAGCTAAAACTATGCAAGTTATGGAGTTTCTGGACAGACCATATTTACTGGCAAAGAAGGTTTTTCCTCTTAATCACAAAAGGTCTTTGTTTTGTAGTATTTCAACTCAATTTGTGCTCTGATTTGGTTGTTCTTTCAACTAATTACACGTTTTAGACACTGTATACACACCTGATGATTAACTGATTACTGAGATAGTTGATTACTCAATTAATCCACTCAGCCCTACTTTAAGTTACTCTACAAAAACGCAGACGGTTAATGTCTAATGTAAGTTTATTTCTTGGCACTGGCCCGTGTTTCTCTTTTTCTAGCGGTGAAAAAATGTCCGCTGGTCTCTCTGAAGTGTCCTCAAGGCCTGCAGTGGATGGACTTTCTGAACCTGCTGAGGTCTGCGGTCCCTCAGCTGGCTGCGGACGACCAACCTTTTGACATCTTGATGCTGGATAAGAAACGGAGACTTCAGCCTCTGACTCCAGAGATCATTAGGAATGTTAGATCCACAGGGCTCAGAAAGCCCACACTCTACATCAGACTAAAGGTAGAAAGGGACTATGTCTGGTTCTGGATTTGGTTTGTTACTGAGTAGCTTGTAATTATCAGGTTGTGATAATTTGTTTTTTTTCTTTTCCAAGACACAAGAGGAAGCTCAAAAGGAGGTCCCTGGTCTTCAGACAGAGAACAGCTCTGCCATGTTGGTTTGTGAGGAAGTAAATCGACTACAAGAGACAAGGTGGGAAATCTAATTTAATCCTAAAATAATTATTTTTGAAGAGAAAGAGCTTTGATATTTAGGGAAATGTTTTGCAGGAATTAAAGTATTCCGGATTTGTGGCTCGTAGCGATTACCTGTGGGTAAAAAAAAAAATACCTGAAAATAAATTGACGGTAAATAAATAAAGAAAAGACAATTGAAATTCTTCTTGCATTTGTAGAGCCCTATAAAATCTGTTTTATTTTTTCCCAAATTCCGTTTATTTCTTTCCAAAATTGCGTTTTTTCCGTTTTAATTTTTGAAAATTCAGTTTTTTTACCCTTTACTCTTATTTCAGCCTTAAAAAGAATGGGCTTTTAATGTTAATGATTAAAATGTACACAAATAAAATAGGAATGACCTTAAATTTATCGAGGTAAAAAAACACATTTACTCAGTATATTTACTGACAATTGGTGGGTGCATGTATTTTTGCGCTTCCAATCAATGGAATGTTGACAAAACTTGCAAAACAATAGTTCACCTGACACGTAAAAGTCACGAGGGAACTGCTCGGCTCTGTACTCAGGGCTGTGAGAGTCGCTTCGCCATTTTTTCAATGTTTATTAATGGGGGAGGGTGAGCGGAAATGATGGAGCGGGAGGGGTTGTGTCGCCCAGATCTGCGTCCCCCGGTGTGCATTTCCCCCCGACATTCTTCTCCCACACAAAAACAGAATTTCATTTCAAATGTAGAAATTCCGCGTTAATTTGCCAATTCCGTGATTCTGTCTGCGATTCCCTGATCACGGAAATTATAGGGCCCTACATTTGTCAGCCAATGGTAGCAAAGGACTGCTATGAAACTAACAGTATTAGCCAATCAGAAGAAGAAGGGGGCGGGACTTAGGGAAGCGTGTTCCTCCTCTTGTTTCTTGCTCAAGTCGCCAGATAGATTGTGGTAGAGTGCTGAAGTTCTACACAGAGAGTCACCTTGCGCCGTTTACGTCTCCATTCAACAGAGACGTGAAAAAAAAATCAAAAAATAGGTAAATGAAACTTTGTGTTTGGAGAGAAGGACGACAGAGAGTACGGAATTGCATGGAGTGGGCACAATGCAGTTCATGAACTCCGAGGAAGATGTCACGACCAAAGATAAAGGTCTGAAAAATAAATGGCGCTGGGCATGGCTGGAGGAGACAGGGCGAGATGGCGAGCCATTTAGCAGCTGGTGCAGGAAGTTAAGTCAACCTGGCGCTTGCTTCTGTGCTCCGGGAACCCTTAGGTACATGCAAGGGGTAGATATAGATGCTCTTTTGCCATCTTCTGGCCGATTTTGGTATTGGATTTTCAAAAGTCCAATTTCTTTATTTATGTCGCTGAAGTCTAGAACCACAAGATTTATACCCAACCATTCAACTAAAATACTACTACATCCCAGTAGACGCCATTTTGGCATTTGACCAATTATATGAGACCTTGAGACTATGTCACCTACTTTAAAATAAGTGAAAAAAAGTTAATAAGTCAAGTTAAAAAGCTAATTGAAATGCCAAATTAGAAAGTAAGAAATGGTGGTTCTATAGGCATCAATTATCTAATGTTATGTTTTAACAAAAAAAATGTGTCTTCTATTCCGTGATTGTTCTTCATAAATTTCTTATAGAAGCGCTTTTGCTATTTTTTATTATCAAGGGCAAGTGGAATGGGGGCGCGATTGGTACTAAATCCGTAGCAAATGTCAAACTGGTGCCG